CTTCTCAGACTTAACTCCTCAAATGCCTTCCGTGTGCAGCCTAAGGCTTGGGTCCTTGACACTGTTTCATCGGAGCAAGACTTTGTTCAATGACACTAAATTGCCTTTCCCAGTGTTTACCCTTGCTTCAACCTGAGACAACAGAGGGTTAATATTTAACTACCAGGTGGATTGGGGTACCCATGCTGACTGGCTCGGAGTCTTTTGGCAAATTGGATTACGGACCACAGACCTGGGTCATTTTTCTATTTCCTTTCCAGGAGGCACATCATGGAAGGAGATTTTTGCATATCAGTTAATTGACTTGATGGTAACTAATAACACAGATGAAATCCAAGGAAGAGGAAAGAAGCCGTCTTGCCTCCCTTTCTGACTGATTTCTAAACCCTCATTCTTTGAGTTTAACTATAAATTAGAAGTTCCTGCAAGAAGTTTATTGAACATGAAGACAAAGAAACACAAAGCAAAGGCCTAGAATCGAAGGCTATTTCCAGTGGGAGTGATGCCCGAGAGGAAACAGTTAACTCAGTGGCAATACGTGGCACACTCTTAAATGGGCTAATGAATGTAATGCATGTACTACTCCATGAACATTAGTTCTTTCTTTTGCGTGCCCATCATCTCTTTTGAAAGAAGACGGAAGGAATATAGAGTGAGTCACTGCGCCAGAAAGAATGGGTAGACCTTCAGCCATTGCAACCATTGGCGTCAGCTAAAAGCAAGGTTCTGAGAATGGATGGAATACCTCCTGAAATGTTTCAACAAGTTGGTGTAACACTGGAAACCCTCACTGACTTATGTTAAAAAAATTAAAAACCTGGAAAACATCTAGCTGGCCAAATGACTGAAAGAGATCCCTATTTGTGCTCTGCCAAGGCCAGGTGACCAACAGAATGAAGACATATCCATTGATACCAGTAATATCAAATGAAAGTAACATTTTGCTAAAACGAACTCAAAAACTCCTGCAGCGATACACCAGGAGGGCGCTGCCAGAGATTCAAACTGGATTCGGAGGAAGACATGCACGAGGATCGCTGACATCAGAGAGAGCCGGGATCAAAGCCAAGATGA